TCACCCTCTATTATCCTGATGTCTGCTTGTTGCCCGAGTCGCAGTGCGGCAAGGTTCTCCGCTGAGCAATCAACTCCTTCTCTTTCCATGAACCTGCGAATGGAAAATGCCTCCTTCTGGCGTTCCGAAACCAGCGTGAAGATGCTCCCATCAAGGTCTTGCTGAGCTGCTGTTTCCTAGAATGGCATCATGTGCATCGAACTCCAACAACAGCAGTGTCCTTCTCGACGATGTTTTTGTACGAGTGGCCTCCTGTCAGATGAAGCTGGGGCTAGATACCCTAGTTTGAGCTTTGAAGCCATGCAGGCAGGGTCCCCTTCATGTCCGGCCTTTCAAGGCTTGCTATGCTCCCCTTGGTAGCTCAAAATAGTAGTGCGTGTAGTTCGAGGCATGTCCTCAATTCTTCGACTGCCTCTGCTGCTGCAGCGGGTCTTGTATGCCTTTCCTGAACATCCTGTTTGTCTAGCTCCGTTTCCATCTGTTTCTGGGTGGGCATCAACAATCTACGTCCCTTTTCAGGCTACTGAAAGGCAACGCGCGGCGTTGGCAGCGATGTCGTGCAGCTTCTTTTCCAAAACAGATACTATCCATTGCCCGCCCGGACAGTTCGCCAGTCACTTTGGGCTCGATGTGCTGCATGCGGGCATTTCTGCACCCAAGCAGAGCAAGAGAGCAAGGAACCTTAAAGAAACCCTTCAAAGCTCCAAAAGATCCTGTAAAAGACCTAAGATCCCTTGCCCACTGGCAGGGCCGTGCGCAGAATTGTTAGAGCAGCGCTTTGCGGAATCAAGTGAAGACACGAAGATTCGGAGGGGCTTTTAAGTGTTGCCTTGAACATGCAGACATGCGGCCCTCGTGCCTGCGGTGAGATCTTTGCTCGTAGCAGGCTGCATCATGGCTCGGGTAATGCGACACAGGGAGACAGAGATGCGTCTGTGTGAAAGATCCAGCATGTGCCCTGGCACATGTCTTGCTAAAGCATGTCATGAGGCGTATCCGTGCAGTCCATGATCAGCTCAGACTCAAGTCAGCACAATGGCTGCAGACGACAAGCTTGAGAGATGTACATTTTGTGCAGAATTCAGCCCTAGCGTGCAGGAAGCACGGAAAATTATGACCCGCTTTTGGGCACACTTTGACTACAGCGCCCAGTGTGCGGATACAGGAAGCCATCCCGTCACATCTTCCCACAGACATCTTGACAACTGCCCACACAGTGCGATGCAGCCTGAGCAGTCCCACTTATCAATCTTGGGATATAATTTAGTACATTGTACTACATTATACTACATTATAATATAATATAATATATGATAATATATTATAGTATATTATACCACATTATAATATATTATAGTATATTATAGTATATTCGCGTATATTACAGTATAATATCTTGGGTAATGGAGATCATGCTCTCTCTACTCCGTGGGCCTCATCAACAGGCCCAGTGTTTGATCATGCCGATGCCTGGGCAAAGATGCGAAATGTTCTTTCATTTGCTTTGTAAAGCTTTTAGATTTGTTTCGCCGTGCTCTCAGCCAACTACAATTACACACAATATGCTGCTTGAGTCAAGGATTGCTGGGTCTTGAGGCATTTTCGTGACACTATTCAGCACTGGGCAGGAGCCATGATGATGGCACAGCCCCGGAAATTGGAACAGAAAGCGGGAGAGTCGAGGGAGAGAAAGAGAGACAGCGAGCGAGCAAGAGCGAGAGAGAGAGAGAGAGAGAGAGCCAGGGAGAAGAAGAGGGAGAGAGCGCGCGAGCGAGCGAGCGAGCGAGCGAGCAGATTGACTGGGAGCCCGGACGGCCAGCGCGAACGCAGGAGGCTGCAAAGACTGCCTGCAGCTCAGGCAACAACTGTCTCAGCGACTGCTACCCAGACTTCATCAGAGAGATTTCACACATGCAAATTCAACCAAACGCAGCGGGCATTGAAAACACAAGTCAGCTAAAGCAAATCGAGAGATGCTAAGACTCCGTTGGCTTGCGGACTCTTCCTCCACAAACGGATCGCAGCGACATTCTCAATAAACGGGGGGGGGTCATGGTCAAATGGAAGGCCTTCTGATGCGCTGAGACAGGCAGTGGGCCAGAACTGGATGCCACCTTTGCAGAAACCTGACAGGCGTCCATGGGGGAGCATCCAAGGCACTGTCATTTGCCTCCGGCCCTGCTGAAGCCACCCTTAACTCCTATAAATTCCTTTGAAGCCCCTGCTTCGATTACCCGACATAGAGTAAAGCGCTTAAAGCCCTCCTCGATAAAATCTTCAGCGCCGACACACCCAAACTAGCAGTGTCCAGACTCAGAAATGCCAAGCAGTTACCGAAATGGCTGCTGCCGCCGTTTCTTTGAGAGTAGCCTGCCTCTCCAAGCTAGCACTTACAAAAAAGGCTGGATGCTGATGATGACAATTATCAGTCCTATCCATCTTGGAGGAAAATGCTATCAACAACTGCACAAGGCCTCATCACACCTATCCATCTGATGAGATATAGTGCGAGCATAGGAAGCTTAGCACAAAAGATCTGGGTGCCTGCACGTGTCTTGTTCAGGCTCAGAGACTTCCCCTGAAGTTCACCTCAACAGGTCTGCACGTCGCCTATCCTCGTTTGATGACAGCTTGTTTTGCACAGACCCCTTCTAACTCACAAGATGCACAGCCCAGTGGGCTGCTGCATGCCATGTTCGCATGTGTTACCTTGGAATTGCACCTCCACATCAAGGCAAGTTGCCGACATGATGCCGTAGGTAAACTTCCCGCTGGTCAGGAAAAGGGAGGTTAGACCTGACACATACGATCTTCACAACTTCGTCCATACTGAGTACTTAGCAGGACATATCCCAAAACAGGGGTCCCCTACATAGTTCCAAAATGCAACAGTCTCTAGTATATGTGACCCCTAACCCAAAACCCTAAACCCTGAAACCCCAAACGTTCTTCCGAGACACGTCGTTGGTAGACGAAGAACGTCGCGGAGCTTTGGCGGCGGTTTCTCCTGAAGAGCAATAATAACAATAGAATTACTACTGCGATCATAAATGAAAATGATTATCATAGCCATAAGAAGAAGACGAAGAAGAATAGTTGTAGCATGACTGGCAGAGGAACGAGAGCATTTTTCAACAACAGGAACTGATCAGGAACTTTGCCATAAGTTGAAATCCTAAACCCCAAGCCCTACACTCCAAGCCCCAAACCAAAAAAAAACTAAACTTTGAAGGAAGGCCGGATGGACTTGACACTTCAGAAGCAGCGTCTCCTCCTCAACCCATGCTGCGTCCGCCTCCAGCGCGAGATTGGATGGCTCTGGTAAAATAAATGACGACCTGTCGCAGTCGTCAACCAGACGACCCTCCCAGGCCATCTCTGGGTTGAGGATTTACCTGCAACCCCAAGTAGCTACAGCTTTGCAAGAAGCATCCTGAGAAAGTATAGCCCATAGAACTGCACCAGTGTGCCCAGCAAAGGAAAGCATGCCGCTACACCGCAACGGAACATGGCGTGTGACAGCGTCACATCCCTGCATCATCCATGCCTGCAGCCAGCAACGACGGCCAAGTGGAGGGCGTGAGCACCAACATCGGAAGTGAGAGCTACAAACACATGTTCTTGACGCTTGCAGGGGCTTGGATTCCACATCATGAATCCTTCGGCCACAAATGTCAGTTCAGGAGCTCACGCGTCCAAGATCATACGACTCGAACAAACCTTGCACACGTTACACAAGAGCTCGCAGGTGCCTACACCAGGTTGTCTGATGATGCTGTTGAAACATCTGAAGGGCCAACTGCGATGACATCTGACTGCTCTAGGGTTACTTAAGGCTGCCTTAATTAAGCAATATTAAGCATATGCATGTCCTTGCTTGGGCCTGCACCGAAGCATGCTCGGACACTCGGGAATTTTACAACAGATGCTGCAACAGATCAGGACCCATGATACTTGCTACAGGTGGTTTACCATCTGATTCAGTATCAGGGCTTTCTCGGTGATGTGAGGGGTGCGCTTAAGAATCCCCAAGCTGTTCGGGAGAAGGTTTCTAAAAAGTTGGAATGGCCATTATGCGGAAATCTTGTGAAATCGTAGTGCACTAGCAACCTGGCGGGCTGCATTCAACAAACGTGGAGGAAGGCATCCAGAATCAAACATGGCAATGACACCATAAAGCAAAATGCGGTCCCTTAACCACAGCAACAAGAACCACCAGACAGGTAACACGTATACTCGCAATTCGGATTGACGGCTCAAGCCCTGCCAGGAATCAGGGTTGCGAATTGCCTGCCAACGTGGCTTCAAGAAGAAATGCAACATCATGAAGTAGACATGGGTGGTGGGTGAAAGCACAGGATACGAGGATGAACCATCAGTGGGATTCAAAGCCAAATTCCTCGCGACATCTGACGCTTGAAACTTCAAGATCAAGGCTCCCACTTATGCGCCGAGCCGTATTTTGCTGCAGTGCTCCGCTCAGTCACGGTGACTTGCTATCTGCCACGAAAGGCTCAGTTGGACGCGATGCTCCTTCACGAATTTCATGTTTTTGGGACGTTGGGATCGTCAGGCGCGTATACACTAGTCCCCTCAAGACCGCAACGGAGTATTGTGCTAGATAGAGACGCACATAATGTTTTATGCCTTCAACCCCCGCAAGCCTAAAAGGACTCGATAGGAGTTTCTCAAAACAGTCTGCCCTCAAGACCCCCCTCTCGACCATCTTCCTCGAGTGCTCAACCTTCTGACTTCAGTGCCCAACCGGCCTAACACCAGAATCCCCGTGCAAAGCCCAGCCCAGCTTCCTGAAGCTTGTCCCAAGCTGAAGTATGAACGGACGCTAGTCTGTGCCAAATGTTAGGGTGAGGCTGCTCGAACGAGAACACTGCTCGTAGTAGCCTGCACTGTCCACGAAAGATGGCAAAAGTAAGGGGAGGTACTCTTCTGAAAAGGAACATGAAGATAAGGTTTAGGGTTTAGGGACCCTGCCTGCTGGCCTCTTCATCACCACCCTGCCTCAGCTGTACGGACAGAACATGAGGTTTCCTTGATGTAGGGGTTTACGGCTTATGGGGCTTCAGGGGTTTAGGGATCTGCAAAAGACGTTCAGAGACTCCCACTGCACGCATTGGAGGCTCAAGAACACATAGGACCGCGACAGCTGAGAGCTCGACGGGTATAGTAGTTGTGGTGGTGGTGATTGACGGTTGTATAGTGGTTGTGGATTGTTGTGGATGGGGGGGGTGATGTTGGTGGTGGGAAGGGTGGGTGGTCGTTGTGGTGCTGGTTGTGGTGCGGGTGGTGGTTCTGGTTGTCCGGGTGCTGGTAGTAGATGCCGTCCTGCACAGGCCAAATCGCCAAGCATCATATGCATAGGGACGACGGCTAGGGATGGTATGGACTCAGGCTTCGGAGCTCGCATCTTCTACTGCTACTACTACTACTACTACTACTACTACTACTAGTACCACCACCGTTGCACAAGCATCTTCTCAGAGCAAGGGTGCCTGGGCGACAGCAAGAGCATAGGGTCCAGGGCCCAGGGCCAGGGGATCCTGGCGGTCCGTCCCAGAAATTGCCAAGGGCCTGGAATTTAGCCCAGAAGAACGTTCAGAATTCAGCACTGTAGAGATCCGGGAATGCCTTTTGCACTCCCCAAATGCACAGGCCTATTCTTTGACTACTTTTCGAAACTTGGAATGCTATAGTTCAGTATTTAACGACTCAGAATCCTACATACAGCAGGTTCCCAATAGCAATCTCATCTTGAGAACTTGCCATGTGTGGCGAGGAGGGTTGGCAGAAACTCCTGCTGGGCAGGCGCGGATGCATCCGTCAGCGCTGCAGTAAGGCCTGGGTGCGTGGGTAAACCCTAAACCCTGAACCCTAAACCCTGAACCCTAACCCTAAACCCTGAACCCTGAACCCTGGATCCTGAACCTTTTTCGTAAGTGGTTGAAAATATTATGGTTCCTTTGCAGATACCCCTAATATCGGTGATGTATAAGGGATTGAGATGTTTGAAGATGTTGTGTGCCAAGGCTGTGCGGCAGAAGGCGTACAACAGGCATGGGGTTTAGGGTTTGGGGTTTAGGGATTTAGAGTTTAGGGGTATAGGCGGTATAGGGTTTAGGGGCTTAGGGGTCTTGTTGTTTAGGGTTTAGGGTCGAGGGGATTAGGGTTAAGGCGCTTTAGGGTTTAGGGGCTTAGGGTTCAAGGTTTGGGGGTTTAGGGTACTTCTCCCTTGCAAGGCTTTTGGATTTCTGCGTCTAGGTTTATGATCCGAAGCTGTGCGAAGCCATGCCACAGATCCTTCTACAAATAGTTATGCATGGCACTTGAATCATTGAAGCACCCCCTAAACCCTAAACCCCTCATATAACCCCAACATACTGCTTAGTAGTTTCCATTATCTTTTCCATTATCCCTAACGCCAAAGCTAAAGGTTCCTTCAGTCCGATGACAGGGTAGATCTCCTATCTGCAGCGGTTGCAATCTTGCGTGAAGAGCTCAGTTAGCCTTAGCGGCTTAGCATTCAAGCTCCAAGGAGGTCGCGTGCGGGGTAAGTCTTTGATCGAATGTAGGCCCTGAAAATCAGACCACAAGCCAGCAAAGGGATCTGGTGGAGTTTAGCGGGAATGTCAGCCGATATTCAATTCCGCAAGGGGATACCTCCTCTGGCTTGATCTAATGGCTCAAGGGTCCTTTGCAACCTAAATCCTAGACTGTGAGACAGGGCCCGAATAGCCGCAAAAGCGCGGAACATCGTAGGCCCCAGGTCTTAGGATCGCTTTGCAGCCATTGTGACTGGCAGCCCTTGCTGGCATAGAAGGCTGAGAAAAAGACGCGCTTCAGCCAGACTTCAATTATCTAAAGGTC